CGAGCAGGGAGCCCGATGCGGGACTCGATCCCGGGACTCCAGGATCATGACCTGAGCCGAAGGCAGTCGCTTAACCAACTGAGCCACCCAGGCGCCCCTGTTCCTGTTCTCTTGAACAGAGGGTGGGACTGTGATCCTCGGACCAGCAGCATCAGCATCTCCTGGGAGCATGTTAGGAATGCTAATTCGAGTCCCACCCCAGACCTGCTAAATGGGAGCCTCTGGGGGGTAGAGACAGGGAGTCTGTTTTAACAAGCTTCCTGAGCGGTCTTTGGCACTCCCGTAAAAGCTGTGTGTACGTGTACCTGTGCGCACAGGGGACACACTCACACGCACAGGCCTTTGTTAACCTTTATCAATCCCAGACAGATTTGGGGGGAAGCCGTCAAAGGCCATTCATTAGGGCTTAGGTTCAAGTTGCTTTTTAAAAGAGATCTGAAATCATTATGGACCATCTCAAACGTGCGCAGATGTGGAGAGGAGAGTGTTAGGAATGCCCATGTGCGCCTCACTCTACTTGTGATTTAACCTTTGGCCATCTTGCCTTAGCCAGCCCCTCCCACGTTACCTTTTTTTTTTTAAGTTATTATTTTGAATTTGGGGAGCACTGGAAAACAGTTGTCAGCCGTGCAGACGTGCGTCCTTAGCCGACTCAGGTCCGCCCAGCGAGGAGCTTTGGGGCCTGGTACCGGGCATCCTCGCAGCTGGGTTATTCTCGGTGTGACATGTAGGGCTCTCTCCACCTTTCTCCCCAGCTAAAAATTGGTCCCTTGCCAGAAGCGAAAATGAGAGGTAAAACGTCAACATTTCAAGTCTTTTGTTATGAGTTTGTCTGTTTTTGTCTTTTAAGGTGAACATTTCTTACTTGCTCTCAGCTGCCTCCCAGCCCCTCGCAGACAGGGGGCTTGTTCTGACCTTCAGGAACTTGATGGGTCAGACTGGGAGAGGTGGGCTTTGTTTTTGCGTGTTTAAGGCAGTGTATCCAGGGACCTGGTCAGTGACCAGTTAATTAGCCCATGTCAACCAGGCAAGAATTTTGTTTCTACTTTTCAAAGAGAAACAAGTGAGGTTCAGCTCCCTCTCTTCTCTTTGACGTTGATTTAAGGACTTCATTTCTCTAAAAGTAAAGCAAAGCACACTGCATGTGTTCATTTGGCAGTGCATGGGGGACTATTATGACTCAAGCCTGAGGCCCCCAGTTGCCTCATAGCCTTTGAACCAGCAGTTACTTCTGTATTTTAAGCCAGGGTCTTCATTGGGGTTTGTCACAGAATTTGGGCTCACATAATTCCAGTGTTTCTTCCAAGAGCGCTGTGACATACAGAAGCTAAAAATGCTGTGTACAGACCACATACAGAGAATAAAAGATGGGACACACATGTAGCTGGGACGGTGGAGGGCAGAGAGATGGGGGGGCGGGATTTAGTTTTGCCGCAGGTGCGATGCTGGAGGCCTCCGGGATATGGGGGATCAGATCACTGAATCTAGTCTGAAGTGGCTGCCTGGTTCGGGGACCCCCTTGCGCGGGCTGCAGGCAGGAGAAACTGAGCACCGGGGCCTGGGGCCACATCTGTAAACGGGAGAGCCCAGAGCTGGCGGCTCTGGATTCTCAGGCTGGGGCTGCGTGTGTGCTAGCTCTCTGGGACCTGTTACCAGTGTGTCTAAACTTGCTTGTTTCTCTTTATGGCTTGGCTGCCCATTTCACTCCGACCCGGGGTGGGGCCAAACCCAACCATCCACCCGCCGACTGCTGGTGGCCCTGACCACAGTTGTGAAGCAGCGCATGCAGATGTACGACTCGCCGCACCGGTCAGCCCTCCGCTGCGTCTGGACGGTTTGGAGGACCGAGGGCTTGGGGGCCTTCTACCGGAGCTACACCACACAGCTGACCATGAACATTCCCTTCCAGTCCATCCACTTCATCACCTACGAGTTCCTGCAGGAGCAGGTCAACCCTCACCGGGGCTACAACCCACAGTCCCACATCATCTCGGGCGGGCTGGCCGGGGCCCTCGCCGCAGCTGCCACCACCCCACTGGACGTCTGTAAGACCCTCCTCAACACTCAGGAGAACATGGCCCTCAACCTGGCCAACATCAGCGGCCGGCTGTCGGGCATGGCCAATGCCTTCAGGATGGTGTACCAGCTCAATGGCCTACCCGGCTATTTCAAAGGCATGCAGGCCCGTGTCATCTACCAGATGCCCTCCACGGCCATTTCCTGGTCTGTCTATGAGTTCTTCAAGTACTTTCTCACCAAACACAAGCTGGAGAGTCGAGCTCCGTACTAAAGGAACAGGCTGTGGGCAGTGATTCCAGAATCTTTTATTTTAAAAAGGCTTTTCCTGCCTGCTTCCATTCCCTTGTCCTCACACTGAGGTTATGTTGGCGGGGTGTTGGCAGGGTGGGCCCTCTGCTCCCTGACGCCTCAGAGAGTGGGGACAATGCGACAGCCGCTGACCGGAAGGCCGTCCACAGGGACGTCCGAGGTGGTAGGTGGGGGAAGACTTTGGACGGGGAGCGAGGGATGGCTTTTGCCATCCCTCCCCTGACAGGAATGTAGCTTTTCTGCCTCCCTGTAGCCGTCTCCTGCCCTACGATCGCAGCTCACAAGGGAGGGGAGAAAATGTGCAGTGACTGAAAGCATTAAAGAAAAAAAGAAAATTCTGTATATAAAAGTTCTAGTACACAGTACAAAATAGATGGATAATGTTTATCCTTTATTTTTCTATGTAGAAGTTTCTGTGTGTGTGTGTGTGTGTGTGTGTGCATGTGCACACGCCAGTGCGTGTGTGCAAATAAGTGGTACAGCTGGGAATGTCAAGTTTTTGTTTTTTTTTTTTAAAAAAGATAGAGGGCTGAATTCTTCCATTGGGTTAAGTGAAAAGGCACCAAAGTGATAAATTACTGAATGTGGCCTAAGATTGTGTGGAGCCCCCAGATGGAAGTTTCACTTGAATGTAAAATAATAAAGTTTATATTTTGAATTTACGTTGCAAACAAAATCAAAATAGTGATACATTACTCCTAGCTACCTTTTTTCTCCTTTTATTCAGTCAGTCACCTGCGTGTGCCTTTTCCTTTTGTCTTTACTGAAAATTCCAGGACCAAAGATCGGTCCTGGGGCATTTTCTCTTGCTGTAGGCACATACACATGCACACCTAATGGTGGCAGGATCGGTCACATTGGAGGACAGCGGCCGCCAGCAGGATTGGGATGACTAGTCTTATTCCTGCTGCACCATTCCCTTCCTCCTTGTGAGGGATGCGGGTGTCTGCCTCCCTGGGCCAGCACGCAGCAGCTCTTGAAATGCCAAGGTTTTGTTACTTGTTGAGCAGGCAATTGGGATAAATTCTCCCTAGAACTTATTTCTGCTTCAGCCTTTAACTCTGGCACTTCAGATATTCTTGTGTGTTGACTAAATCTGTTTCCCTGGGCGGTTTCAGGGATTTTTAAAAAGCATAGCAAGTATGTCTATGGCATGTGTCCATCCCTCTGTCCACCATTAGTTCACCTGGCACGGAGCCTCTCACCTTGCAGTGACAGAGGCCAGGCCCTCAGGCCAAGCCCAGCCGCTGAAGTGAGACCCGGACCCTTGTGCACAAGTCAGGATGTCTCTCCAGAGCTATCGTCAGCCTCACTTGTCTGCATCAGCTGAGAACTCGAGGCCTAACTGTCTTGTTTTCTGAAATGGTGCATCTGAGCCCGATTATCACTAAGAAAATGCAAGCTTGTTTCCCCTGGCCACGCCCTTTGATTGGCTGCCAGGCATCTCCAAGGGAAGCCCAAATGGCTTCACGGTTTCCTTCTGGAGCCCTTTAAAAATGAGCAGGAAGCACATATATGTTCAATTTGGTGGGCCTGGCCCTGACCTTCAGCCTTTGCCCTTTACCCCTGACCTGCCCCACGGTCAATGTAGTGCACCCCTCTGAGGCTCAGATCCAGGCTCCTTTGGAGGCTGTTCCTCCTGCCAAGAACTCCAGGTGGCACTGGGACAGGTTTCATCTTGGGATCCTGCACGCTGCCTTTGGGAGTCGTTTTGAGGTCAGACAGAAGGGTGCCCTATCAGGAAGCTCCCATGTGTGCCCCATGAGCAGAACCTTGCTTCTGGGCTGGGAGGGCTCAGCTGCTGGCCTGTCCCACTTTAGAATGAACCTCTCCCCACCCTCTGCCAGTGGGAAACCAGTTGCAGCAAGCCTCTGTCCTACCTGGGGGTGCAAAAAGCCCATGGAGAGAGACCCTGGTGCTCTGGGAAGTATTTACATCCTCTACTAAAACATGCTGTGTATTACTGGTACATTCTGCAAAAGGAAGAAAACTGGAGAGAATTCTAAAATAATTATCCAGCCACTCTTTCTCCTCCTCTTAAGATGTGCCACACTGCTGCAAAAAAACCACAGGATTTTGTTTCGGATGGTATTCAGAAAAGAAACTGTTCACTTCTCTAGGAAAGCTCCTTTGGGTAAGGGATGCAAGAAGGAGAGGCGGGAAGGGGGTTTGAGAGCTCTGTGGACTGAGCTGGAAGGTCTGCCCATACTTTCCTCTCACCGTACAGATGGATTGGCCAGGAAATGGGGCAACGCCACCTGTCCTGCCTTCCCCCCTGGACCTTCATGAGGCTGGATGAGCCATGTATCTGAGCGGGTTTTGAAAGTTGTGAAGCACTAAACAAATGTAAGTGGTCTTAATCTTGCGGGAATGGATATTCCCCCTTGCTCTGGGCTCCAAAGTTTGTGTTGTTGCTTTGTGCAGACTACAGTCCAGTTGTCAACTGTGACTTTGACATTGAGAAGTAAGTAATTAGGAAACTGTTCTCGCC